CAGCGACCCCTCACTTAGTTTTGGGGGCAATTGCAGGAGGGGAGTTTGCATGTGAGCGGTTGTCAACATTACTTGTAGGGTTACCAAGAGACCCTTAAGGGTGGACATAGAGGGTTGCTTGGATAGCTCAGTATAGTCCGAATTGTAGTCCCTATTATATTCCTTAAAAAGAACCCATGTCCATTATGTAATTTGATGGGAAATACTGACTGAAGCTTATGGAGGGACCTTACATAAGCCTTACATACCCCTTACAGAACACCCCCTGGTCCCAATATACGGCCCTTACATACCATTACCCTTATACACCCCTTACCTACCATGCCCCTTATATAAACTCCCCCATTGCAATCTCAGCTTCTGTGGTTGGTCCAGCTTTGGGTGCTTGTGCATTCGACTGGAGCTGTACGGTTGATGTGAGCTGACGGGCTTTCAATTAATTTGCTTCAAAATGATCGCGAAGTTCAAGCAAAATATAAACACTAAACAACATATAGTAATGGTGATTAGTCGTTCTTATTTACCAGCGAATAGCAGTAGTGCAAAGTAATAGTAAACCGTATTGCAAGCTTGTCCAGGCCTTTCGTGATGATTGCAGAACCTGGACAGCTTGCTGCGTTGTCCCAGCGACTGTGCGGGATGGCACCAGATGTGGATGCAAGCGAGGTGGGCTCAGGGCCACGAGGGTACTGTGGAGTTACGCTTTGAATATGGGCTACCTCTCATGATTTTAGGCACCTTCTTGGTATCAGTTTTAATAAGGCACCTGACCATTTCAGGCTGTCAGAAAGCTTGAAACCATAAGGTAGACTACGCATGGAAGTTTCCCCAAAGCAGGGTGATGACAATATGGTCGCCAGAATATTTTAACCTTATCACAGGGACGCCAAAAATCCCTCAACCCCAAACCCTGAACCCTAAACCCTCAACCCTAAGTCCTAAACCCACAGCCCAAAACCCTAACTAAACCCTAAACCCCTAAACTCCAAACCTTAATATTGGGGAACTCCTTCAGGTCCTCGGAACCCCAGCAGAACAGGTGAGTAGTATTTTTTTTGGGGATAGTATGGTACCGAATATAAAGTAAGATTATATCCTCCTTTTGGGTATAGTATTCTATATAAGGAATATAATCTTACTAGGTTCAGCCACCAAAAGACACTGCTCAAGGGGAGGTCTTGGCTGGCACCATCGCCGCGGACTTCTTCCTCAAAACGCAACTGGGTCATGGTTTACGGTTTGGGGTTTGGAGTTTAGGCTTGAGGTTTCAGGGTTTAGGGTTCAGGGTTCAGGGTCTAGGGTTTAGGGTTCAAGGTTTGGGCTTCAGGGTTGAGGGTTTAGGGTTTGGGATTTGGGTTTAGGGAATTAAGTTGCTCTTCCCAAATTAATACGAGAACCGAAAAGCGCCCTACGAAAACTACGAGGATGATGTGGCTTCCATATTGTAAAGAGACACCAAAATTGGAATTTATGTCCGTATTGTGGTGGCTTAAGGCTCTAGGATCCAAAAGAAGCAAGCAGCCTATGACCCGTTCAAGTGAGCACATTTTTTCGATAACTCATTTTAATTCCTGACCATCAACTTAGGAAAGCCCGAGAAGAAGCCGCTGAGGCCGGCTTTGGCGTTACATTCCCAAATCAGTGCTACGAACTTGTTAAAGGTTTGGGGTTAAGTAAAGTTGAAAGCTTGTTATAACAGTTTTAGCCCCCAAATAGACTCAAATGCAAGAACATAACTTTGATCAGACCACCGATACGTATGGTAGTTGTCGGATTCCCATGCCATTTCACGAACAGGAGAAGCGGTCAAGCGTGATCTACAATAGTTGTTCAGCCGAATTGCTATTGTCGCTGTCATTGTCGGGTTTGGTCGTTGCTGCTGCTGCTGCTGCTGCTGCTGCTGCTTCTTTTTTCTGTTTTGGTAAGCCTTTTGCAGCTGGTGGTGGTGGTGGTGGTGGTGGTGGTGGTGGTGGTGGTGGTGGTGGTGGTGGTGGTGTTGGTGGTGGTGGTGGTGGTGATGCTACTGCTGCGGATAATGCCACTGCCAGGTTTACTCCGACTTGTATTGCTACCTTGGAGGGTCATGAGAACGTACTATATAGGTAACTAATGGGTACAATAGGGTTACTAAACGGGTTTGAGGGATTATACTTACGAAGTCCCCCTAAACCCTAAACCCTAGATGATATAGCACCTTCCACTTTTGTGCCCGTTCTTGATAAGTCCCCCTGACCCTCCAAGAATGACGTCACAACAGGTATTTGTTAGGAGGACTCCCCATCCTGTAATAGTGGCAAAATAGGAATAAAGAGGACCCTGATATAATCCTTCTTATCCCTTATACAGTAGTCAGTAGTCACTATTGCTGGGTGGGGGGTTCTACCTAGAGTATTTGTGATCTCCGGTGCAGGCTCTCGAGCAGCCTCGAGTTGTTGTGAGCAAAGCTGGCAGAGCTGACATTGGTTAGGTCATTCCCGCTGTCAGTAACTGTCCTCATGTCCTTAACGGGGCTTTGGTAAGGGGGTATTGTAGCTCATTTTAATTCTTGTGGTAGTTGTTACGTAAGGGGGGATGACCAAAGACATTGGCTGAAAGCTTGCAAGACTCATTCCGGCTTGATTGACTGCAAGTTCAACCGAGTCAGGCTCTTGCGACAAGCACCAGTGATGGAGATGTTCATAGGAAGCTTCTACAAGTGGTGTGGAAGTTTGAAAAGTGGGTCGTCGCCCTGGCATCCATTTTAAAAGGAGCCGGCAAAGCAGAGGCCTGTGGCTTTTGCAAAAACTGCTGCTCTTCTGCGCGACAAAAGAACAGCACTTCCAAGCCAATCCCAATGTAACCCCTATATATAACCCCTATGGAGTTCTGAAACCCTAATATATACCCTATGAGGGTATATACTAGGGTTATATGGTTTCCTAATTGGCTGCGAGATAGGCAGTAACAATGCAGGACATGTAGTCATGACCAGGCAGGGGCAGGTCGACGTTTTTTTTTGGCTGAATATCCGGATTTTCGGCTGACCAAGTATATTTAACCCTTAGGCTATGCGAGACTTTATGATTATCAAGATTGCCCTCCACCAATAGATAGCTTTGGGGGCATATGAGCCGATGTCTAAACTCCTAGTATCCCCCTTAATAACCCCAATAGTAGTCCCCTATATAACCCCCTTCAAGGAGTTTAGACTACAGTTCATATCCCTAAACCCTAAACCCTAAACCCTAATCCCTAAACCCTAATCCCTAAACCCTAAACCCAAAAAGCATTCTCCAGTTAGAGTCTTGGCAATTTGATCAGCCGCCTGCGCAGGTGGTGTTCAGGTGCCCCTGGGATCGAACATGAAAATGGCCCGCAGCTTAACCACTATGGGCTATTAGACCCTAAAATTCCCCATTAGGACCCTATTAAGGCTAGATTAAGGTACCCTTAAGGTCTAATAGCCCATAGTGGAAGGGGAACATGGGGTAATGCAGGGGCCTAAACTTGGAGGAAGGTTTAGGGTTTAGCGTAATGCAGAATCAAATAGAAAACGCGAAGGAAAAGTATGTGTTTCGGGTGTTTATAGCGAATTACCGAAATTGTATCCTAAACCCTGCGCCGCGTCATTCAGGCCCCTACAGTAGGCAAGCCACTTAAGGATTCAGGATTTGTTAGGGTCTGCTTGGAGGGTCATGGGGAGTTTTAGCCTAAACTGCTTAAAGGGGGTTATGTAGGGGATTATTCAGGGGAGTATTCTAGGCTCATTAATAGGATACTTGGAGTTTCCACTATGGCTCATACAGTACCTGCTGTTAGCCCCAGTAATAACTTAGTAAGTCCCCCTGATCTTGAAAGTAGGGTTTAGAGTGCATGGTATGCGGGCCAAGCTGCGATTGTGGTCTCAGACGCAGCCACGTCATATTGGAGTCAGGTACAAAGTGTCTTGTTTGTTTCCACAACCTTAACGCCAACCACCACGGACATCTGCAACTCCCCTTGGAGTCGTCATACATCCCTCGAATTCATAAGGGCACCTTTGCTGATCTATCTTCAGGTATTGGGGATTTCCATTAGGGGGCTTAAGCCCTAAACCCTAAGCCATATAACAACGAAAATACTTTATTGGGGTTTACACCTAACATCCTACTCCTTTCAAACCCTAAACTTTGGGTACTGCACCCCCCCCCCTCAGGAACAGTTGGATAATAATTGTAATATGGGTATATATAGCCCTTAATAGGACCCCTAATATATACTGTTACTGGGTGGGCAGTACCCAACCTAAACTCTAAACCCTGAACCCTAAACCCTAGACCCTAAGCCCTAAACGCTAAACCCCAAACCCTAAACCCTAAACTCTGAACTCTAAACCCTAAACTTTCAACCAGCTTCAGCCGACCAAGTTGATCATGGCCTTGCCGACACTTCTCTTCTTGCACCTCTTCATGGGCCCGCGACTTATGGCTTGGCTGGGGTTCAGGGTTTAGGGTTTAGGGTCTAGGGTTTAGGGTCTAGGGTGTGGGGTTTAGGCTGGGAGAAGTTCGAAGTGAGAATGGTGATTAAAGCGATAAAGACTGTTATCTGTCGTAGCTAGGGACGCTGGTTGCAAGTTTAAGCTCTAAACCTTAGGAGGACCCCCCACCCTGTAATAGTGGTATAGTAGGAATATACGAGGACCCTGATATGATCCCTATTATCCCCTATAGTCACTATTACTGGGTGGGGGGTCCACCTAATCTAAACCCTATTCCAAACCCTCATCCCTAAAACCAAGCCTTAACCATCAGCTCAGTTGTGCTGTTGCAGAAGACAGGTCCCGTCTTGTGGTCAGCGGCCTTGTGCAGCGGTGGCGTGAGCTTGGCGCACGCTGCCTTGCGGGACCGTCCGAGCCTCAAAACCTCATTTCCTCGGGACCCTTTCTAGACGGGCTCGTACAGGGAACATATACATAGGGGTTCCCAGAGATTGGGGTCTTTTTTGGGGGCGTGCCTTTAACTTTAGCTTCCATGGGTACTTCCTTAGTCTTTTGGACCTTTGGCTTCTAGCAGTTCTAGAGGAACCCCAAAAGACCAAGTCTTTTGTTTTCTTCTGAAAGGAGCACAGTTAGCCTGACAGGAGTCCAGGAACCCGAATGCAGACACGAGACTTGTAATCTGCGCAGTTTACACGCCTCGCACACGCCATGAGAAGCAGAAACCCTAAACCCTAAACCCTGAACCCTAAACCCCCCGCGCCGAAGACACTGCACTACCCAGTCTCCAGTCCCCATCTCCCCGCGCCAGTCCATCCACTTTCCGGTTTAGGGTTTAGGTAATTTGAGGAGGGTATTCGTCCGATGACTACCGTCTTGGCTACCAGGTTAACCATGTTTGCTACGCTAGTCCCTAAACCCTAAACCCTAAACCCTAAGCCCCTAAACCCTAAACCCTATAGTAGTTTCCATTTTCTTTTCCATTACAACCCCAATACCCTGAAAGAACCCCTATATCCCTCTTTAAACCAGGCGAAGATGTGGACAAGATGGATGACTCGGAAGACAGAGATGGAGATTCGTCTTGGCACTTCTCCCGGTTTAGGGTTAGTAGGGGAAAGGATGTATCTTCTATAGGGATTATATAGTGATTATATTCCCTTACTCCCTACTAACACCAGGAAGATAATGAGAAATGTGGGATTATGACGTTGTCTGTATGTTTAATAAGGATCAGGCATTATACAAGGACTTTATTCACTTATTCCCTGCTGACCGCCAGTAAGTTGAGATACTGGAAAATTCCCTGGGTACTGCCCCCCCTCATTAAGAGTTGTTTACTATCTTAATAGATTTATGTAGAGCCCTTAACATGACCCCTATTATAGATAGACCCTAAACCTTAAACCCTTAACCCTAAACCTTAAACCTTGACCACTGTTAATGGGTGGGGGGGGGACCAGGGCTTTCCCTGAACCCTAAACCCTAAACCGCGTGCTGGGGCCGCGGTGAGGTCGAGAGGACGAGTTCGTGAACTTCCTTGAAGCCAACTCCTCGGATCAACGTTCGTCTGCCGGAGGTATATATATATATATGACACGGTGTAGGGTTTAGGGTTTCGGGTTTAGGGTTTAGGGTTATGTATATACATATATTTATAAATATATATCTACACACATATATGTATATATATATATGTATGTATGTATATATGGTACTCCCCCCCAAAAAAAAGATTAGCCGAAAGGTGTCTCAGATACTAACGATCCATCATAAGCTTCATCTTAGCAAAAACCATTCACAAGGACGCTACTGCGAACTCCACAAACATATCTTTCATGAGGACCTCCAATTAAGCTCCCTAACATGTATGCCGATTTAGATGCCCTCCTTCATCAATCCCTGCTCACATAACGATCACTAATCAGGCGTCCTCTTGCGCAGCGTCAATGAGACTCTTTAATTATGATTCCCAAATAATATCTCGATTGCTAGGAACTTAGATGAAACTCCTCTTGTGATGAGCACTTCACATGAAAGCTGGACCCCTCATCAATAAGAAACGTCAGTAAAGCTCATCAGCCAAGATCCCTGTGAATTTGATTAAGAGGGATGCTTAGTAAAGCAGGGCTCCTATTAGGACCTTCCTAAAGATTTGAAAGGACATGGTAAAGTGGCACCCCAGGTCTTAACAGGCTTAATTGTAGGAACTTCGTGTCAGACTCCTAATAATCCCGAAACCCTAAACCATAAACAAAGGACCTTTGCCAACGAACTATGAGGACCTCTAGCAAGCTTTCCGAGTAAGTACCATTTAAGGTGCATTTCTCATAAAAAGACAAGGCTTGCGAGTTTCTATTGCAGAGCCGACTGAGGTAGTTTTGGAATGCAAAAGGTCTTGTTAAGGGGCTTGTATTACGCATGCGCGTTTATCGAACACCTATATGGAGATCGTTTTTTTTTGGTTTTGGAATAAGCTACTCGAGATCGGCATGTATGATGTAGGACGTTATGAGCATTCAAACACGTGTTTGTATACAGGTTATATAGGAATTGCGTAGGGACGGCATTAGCTATACAAAGATGATTCCTAAGTCAGTATTCCGTCGCAGAGACATTTCAGACTTTGCAGAAAGGGCTTTGGTTTGGGCTTCGGATGACCTCTGTGGACTTTGACCATGTGGGGTTTTTCATATGCATGAATATGAGTTCCCCCATGTATTCTAGTCTTCTTTGGAAATCGAGACCCTGCGTGAGTGCCAAGAATTTTTCCTGTACAGATTTGCAAAAAATAAAATGGGAAAAATCCAGGCTTCTAGATTTCCTGAATACCAGAATTCCAGAATTCCATATTTCGTGAATTCCGCAATTCCAGAATCCCAGAATTCCAGAATTCCAGAATCCAAGACTTCCAGAATTTCAGAGTTCTAGATTTGCAAGGCCTTAAACCCTAAACCCTCATAATTCCATAATTCCAGATCTGCGGGGCCCCATAATTCCAGAATTCTAGATTTGGAATCCTTAGGGTTTAGGGTTTAGGGTATTCTGGAATCCTGGAATTAAACGAGTCTGGAAATCTGGTGGTCTGAGTAGGGCAAAAGATGATACTTTTCACCGCGCAGGCCATGGTTTCTGCTTACAACGAGGGTTTTGGAGGGGGGGAGCATATATGTATATGTATATGTATATGTATATGTATATGTATGTATGTATGTATGTATGTATGTATGTATGTATGTATATATATGTATATTATTCATTTTGGTGGTGTAGAGTTTAGGGCTTGGGTTTAGGGCACACAGGGATATATGGGGCATGGAAAAGAACATGGAAATTACCATGTAATGTAGGGTTTGGGGTGTAGGGTCAAGGGGACTCACCGGGTGAACAGTAATCTGCCGCTTTAGAGCATACTTGGCTGGCTAGGGCGACTTAGTAAGTAAATTGTGGTATATTGTAGTATATCTATAGTATATTATAGTATATTATAGTATGTTGTACTATCTTATTATAGTATGTTATTATAGTATGTTATTTTAGTATATTTTAGTACATTATAGTATACATTATAGTATAGTATACTCTTAATCCGACAAGCCACATGGTAACCCCAATTATCCCCATTGCAGACCTACTCACTAAGTCCCCTGATCGTCCAAGTAGTTGTCTCAAGTCTGGCAGCCTTTGGTGGAAATAGCTAGGTAGCGCAGTGGTTGGTCTATAGTAGTTTCCAATTTCTTTTCCATTATCCCAATATAAGCCTCTATGTAAGATAGTAGTTTCCATTTTATTTCCCATCATTTCGCTCTAAACTCATATAACATAGTAGTTTCCATTGTATCTTCCATTATCCCAATAAAGCATGGCAGCTGAGATCGAGGTTCCACAACTCTCATCTTTCACCTCCATCTGAACCTTCTGAGCGCCCACTGTAGCTGCTCATGAGCAGCTCTGAAGCTGTAACACAGCTTCTCGGGGTGCTCTCCTAGGGCTTGCTATTGCTCCCCAAGTCTGTGCCATCTGTGGCTGCAGCAGTTCATACTGTTGTGGTGCGATCTAAGGAAGGAATATGTGAATCCAGCTCAACAGACACGGGAAAATTACGCCTGTGTTGCATCAAATGCGCTCACGTATAGGATTTTCCGTTGCAGTCCTTGCAGCTTAGCATGTTTTGTGCGGCATCTCTTCTTGCTGGCTTTTGTGGAGTGTCTGCTCTTTGAGGTGGACCTTCACTTTCTCCGTGCAGTGGAGGTCCCAGCATATGCTTCAGCCCCTAGTCGCCGGAGTTCCGCAGGTGTGGCATCTCTGGAGAGAATTATACGAACCTGAAGCTTTCGAGTGGCTTGCGACTTACGAATACTAGTTCCCGTGGATGGGGGTCCCCTGAATCTTCAACCCTAAGCCCGCTGTGTACATCCCCCAAAATCCTGTGACCGTGTCATGGGAACCCCCAGCTGGGGATCCCTCAATTTTAGGGAACCCCACAAATCCTCCAGTTCTGCTTCTCCTGTCATGCCACAGATTTGGCAGAGCCTGCGGCGTGACTTGGGGCAGAAGGTTCAAAAACAGGAACAGCGCGTTGACGGAAATATGCTGGCCGCTTTTGCTGTGATCGTTGCACCTGAGCCCTCAGCATAGAGAGAGAGAGAGGGAGAGAGAGAAAAAAAAGAAAAACGTCGCCATCAGCCCAAAGCCCTACACCCTCACCCCAAAAGTCTTAAGGCTTAAGGGTTGCCTAGTGGACAGATAAGCAAAACCTTAAACCCTGAACCTTGGGCCATGCCATTCTGAGAGCTTTGCTTCTCCACATGAGCCAAAGGGCTTGAGCAGCAGCAAGGTTCAGGGTTTAGGGTTGAGGGCACATCATGCGCGTCTAACAGAGGAACAGCATCCCAATGATGTTGTATTCAGCACTGAATGACCACAAGGGATTCTATGACGTTGCATTTACAGTTTGCCAACCTAGATCCCAAAACCGAAGCCCTGAAGCCCAATTCCCCTTTCATGTCCCCTGATGGCCCTGATAACCCCTTTAAATCGTGTATCCCTATGTCTCCTGCAAGCACTTCAAAGGAAACTCTTCAATCCCCTGATATGGCGGTTTCCCAAAATTAGGGGTGCCCATTTTGGGGGGTCCGAAAAGAAGGACTATAGTATTTTTGGGGTCTATATTGGGGTTCCCTATTTTGGGAAACTACCATATCCCTACAAGACGTTAAAGGTGAGCTCTCAAATAGCCATGGATGACCGTGTGGTCTCGCCGCCGCGTCGGAGGCACCTCGTGTCTTTCACAGGGTCTGTTTTGGAGCTGAGAGCTGAGACTTGTTTTGGGTTTATGGTTTAGGGATTCAGGGTTTAGGGTTTAGGGGGTTCTCAAAAGAGGTTGGTCTGAGTGACATACTTGTGGGTACCCCCGCCGCAGGGAAATGTGGGGATTGGGGTGTTTAGAGCTTGAGATCCCTTACTTATGCTTCGTTAGGAATGGGGGGGGGGCTCCCTTTGCAGCTTCAAGATTATCATCCCTTAAACAGTTCCTGTATGTTCCTGTGACCTATTCCTCCATTGCCAAGGGAGCATGAGTAAGGAATGGACTGTCATGTTTCCCTAGACCCTAAACCCTTTTTTCAGCCCCCATGTTTTGTGCCAGGCATCTGACTCCGGTTGAGGCTCGACTGCAGATATGTAGGGACTTTAGGGGGACCCTTAATCCCATTACCATATATTACCCTTATATAGTCATTATATAAGCCCTATATCCCTAGGTAGTCCCCAAATGAACCCCCATAAGCTACAAGGGTCCCTACTAGGGGTCCCTCCTAAAGTCCTTAGAAACCCTAAACCCTAAACCCTAAACCGCGTCAGATAGTTTCACCATGGTGCTGCTTCAGAGGCGTTGGTCTCACGATCAGCTGCATCATTCCCTAAGCTTGCAACCTCCTGAGTAGTATTACAAGGTCCTCACCATGGTCCAGCGTTTGGGGTTTCGGGTTTAGGGTTAAGAGATTTTGGGATCCGGGTTTAGGGTTCAGGATCTGGGTTTAAGTGTTAAGGGTTTTCAGTTTTCAGTTTAGGGTCTAGGGTTTAGTGTCTCGACCCTTGCTGTTTCGTGGGTCCAATCCCAGACGAGTTCACGGTGAAGCCGGGAGTCAAACATGAATCCCAGCAATTTGTAGATCAGTATCCATGACCCTCAACCCAAAACCATCCGAAATTCCGAGCAAGCTAAGGGAGCGAGGAGAAACAACGCACAATTTGTGGCACGCAATCCGCGGAGATTTCGCACGTATGGTTATCTGTGGATTGATAGAGGGAGATAGATTATGGGGCATGCGGTTTAGGCTTTGGGCTTTGCCGTAAACCCAGGCCCTGAGCCCTAAACCTAAGCCCTAATCCTTGATCCAGAAGCCCTGAGCCTCGAAGGGCCGCCTTTTTTCTCTTGTAAACAGAAAAGTCTAACCGTAAATAAGCCCTAAACCAAAGCCCTGTATAAGACCTCAACTCCAAGCCATAAACCCGGAACCCTATATAAGGCCACAACCCTACG